CCCCCCCCCCCCCCCCCCCCCCAACACACACACACATCCAAACACACAGACAGTTATGGAAACACATGATGATTGCTCATTTTAGAATGTCTATTGTACCAAATTGGGGATTTAAAACAATAATCAAATTTTCAGAATATATTATCTGTACTTATGCCATTAAGTTACTCAATTCTTCGTGCTTCTATGTTTTGAAGGAATAGAAATTTCTCCTTATAAGTTTAACCATTCAATGTATGTAGAAAGGAGTATTCTTCTAATCCATTTTGTTTTTATCCTTATATAATTTTCTCCAGATCAATCAATTCTAGACTGCCCCCGCTATAACCCTGACCAAGTGTTGACCTCTTTATTCGATCTATCGATGATTGTCAGATAAAATTGATTTTTTTTATTCAAAAATCAAATAGTGTTTTTGCTAGGGATAGGAAAAGAGATCAAAAACATGTTTTTTTGCCAATATTTAGAGTGATTAGAGAACACTGAGTCTGCCGATAGGTGTAAAGAGTCTTATTGGCCACTGATTTAACTTGCTACCTGTAGTACGTAACATTTCGTGGTAGGTAAGATCAGCAATGTCCTAAAAGTTAACAGAGACATCAAACCAAAGTAAGGTAAATTTTGATGTTCCTCCTTTCAGCTTCCATCTGTGATGGTATACATCAGCACTGATTTTTGGGCTACCTTTTTAAATAACATTTTTCTCATAATTAATTTTTACGATGTAATCTAATATCGTTATAGACTGTTGAGCCATGCAAAATAGAGGATCTGTCTCCTTCATTGTTATGTGTCTGTTAGCTAATATTTCAGCTACCATAGGAAATAAAATATATGATACTGGATCGCCTTGTCTACAGTCCCTTTTTATGTCTACCAATTTGGATAGAAAAATATTCTCTACGATTGCCGAGAAGTATTTCTATTACATACTTTGATGTGTTTTTTTCGTTTTCTTCTACTCCGGTCCAAATTAAACAAAATGAATACTTTAGTTTAAAGTCCCATAAAACAGAATCAAAGGCTTTTTCAAAATCGATAAAATGAGGTGTCCATGAGTATGATGGTGTTGAGTGTAGTTCGTTATGTCGTAGATTAACCAAGTATCTCCCCCGGGGTTTCTCTTGCTTAGGAACTTGTTTTTGATATGGAGTGTACAACTGATTTTAAAATATTTAAAAGTTGCATTGAGAAGAGTTATGGGTCTCAAGTTCTATAAATACTCTCTGGATATTTTACTGGATGCCCTTGCTTTTGTGTAGTAGATGGCTGCCTATTGTTGTAACTCATGTATGAAGTCTCAAAATATTGTTCATTATATATTATTATTATTTTTCTTTATTTTCCCTTTATTGTCATAGAATCCAACTGTATCGTTTATGGACTGTTATATCAACAGCTAATATATTTTCAACAACATCATCTGTCTTATGATGTTTTTCAAATTCAAATTTATCGTTTACAATAATAGTTACTCCTCGACTATTAGATTAAAAAGAATCAACTGAACACTTGGACCCCCTTGTGATATTGTAATTTCTTTCTTCTTCAATTGAAAAGTATATATCTTGAAGACAAATGAAACATACGTTTGAGTTTTTTTGTTTTAAAATGGTTTAATACGTCTGGTCTATTAATTTTCATACCAATGCCTGACAGGTCATTGGCGGTATTGTTATTTCATCAACACCTCATTTAGGCTGATTGTACCTGAGCCTTCTGTTTGTAAGTCTTTTTTTTTTTTTACATCCAAACATTAATGTTAGAGATAGAAAATAATGTGTAGTAGAGGAGAGATCACATTTATGAAAAACAAACAACCATGGACATTGAAATCTGTAAACATTGTTGTTTTTGGTGAGGTTTTTTTCGGAGGTTAAAAAAACAAAAATGGGTAAAATCCAGAAAAAATATTGTGAAAAAGGTGTAAACGAATGATTACCTACTGATGACCTTATTTGATATTTTTGTTACTGTTGTAATGACTTGATCGTATGCTAATAGTATGCCAAACTAGTCATATCATTGCTATATTATACATTCCAAAGTTTCATCCAAGCTGATTATAAATGAACTAGTCATATGGTTTCTTTGAGTGGTATAAAAGAAGTACATCTCAAAAACGAATGGATATATAATCATGTTGTTTTGACGTTAAGAAGATATGTATACATATACAAAAGGAATAACCTTTTATTTCATCGAATTGATAACGTATAGCAAGATGAAACTAAATCGCTTTTCACAAAAGTAGTTAGAGAGTGAAGCGTAACTCATGTCCAGCTTTAATTTCTTGACAACCGCTTCGCCATCATTGTACAAAGTATACACAAACACGTCTGGATAACTCTGACGGAGCACCTCTAGGGACAATGCTCTCCCTATTACACCTCTAGGGACAATGCTCTCCTATTACACCTCTAGGGACAATGCTCTCCCTATTACACGTCTAGGGACAATGCTCTCCCTATTACACCTCTAGTTACAATGCTCTCCCTATTACACGTCTAGGGACAATGCTCTCCCTATTACACCTCTAGGGACAATGCTCTCCCTATTACACCTGTAGGGACAATGCTCTCCCTATTACACTTCTAGGGACTATGCTCTCCCTATTACACGTCTAGGGACAATGCTCTCCCTATTACATCTCTAGGGACAACGCTCTCCCTATTACACCTCTAGTTACAATGCTCTCCCTATTACACGTCTAGGGACAATGCTCTCCCTATTACATCTCTAGGGACAACGCTCTCCCTATTACACCTCTAGTTACAATGCTCTCCCTATTACACGTCTAGGGACAATGCTCTCCCTATTACCCCTCTAGGGACAATGCCCTCCCTATTACACCTCTAGGGACAATGCTCTCCTATTACACCTCTAGGGACAATGCTCTCCCTATTTCACCCCTAGGGACAATGCTCTCCCTATTACATCTCTAGGGACAACGCTCTCCCTATTACACCTCTAGTTACAATGCTCTCCCTATTACACGTCTAGGGACAATGCTCTCCCTATTACATCTCTAGGGACAATGCTCTCCCTATTACACCTCTAGTTACAATGCTCTCCCTATTACACCCCTAGGGATAATGCTCTCCCTAGTATACGTCTTTGTCTAACACCTATCAGTTCTTTGAGAGTTCATAATACTGCAGTCTGACTTGCTACTTTACTCAAAGGAAGGACACATCACATAAATCCAACCTTTTCGTCATTAATAAATGTTACGATACTCATCACAGTACATGTACACGTTTCTGAGGTTTACGTACACGGCACTATATGGAACAGTTACTTACTACATTTTTTTTTTTTTTTTTGTCATCACAGATACAAATATCATAAAAGCATAAATATATATATATATCATGTAAACACATCCTCTCACAGGAGGCACATCTTTGATTTTTTTCCTTGGTTGGGATGAGTTCTGGAGTTCAGTATCTGAGAAGTGTGTTTTTTTAAACAAAAACTTACTTATAACTAGACATCACATAGTGTATACATTTACATCACACCACAAAGACAGAAACTCTTACAAGGCATGATATACTTACTACATAATATACATGCATTTGGAGTTTGTCTGAATTTCTGTTGATTTTGCCAAAGTCTTGTACATTGACATATATACATGTATGTGACGTAAAAACGACGTCGACCGTCGGACGATAAAAGCGTACACTGGAACTCATCTATGAAAACGTCATCTCCACTGTCTCATTGAAAATGTTCCAGGAGCATATCCCGCCGACAAAGCCTTACGACGTATGTGGCTTACACGAGTAAAGGGTGCACCGACATAAAGACGACGTGCCCACAGGCCATCTGCGAGCAATCGATTTCTCACAGTGTTTTGATGTATGGGACGATTATGAATGCCTACTTGTTACATCTGCATTTAAATGACGTTAATGCAAATGCACAATATGAATTGACGTCGAGACGTCAGGCGTGGACGTCGCGATCGGTCGGAAACGCGCTCTGTCTCCTGTAAAAGCCGAAAAAAGAAAAGCACTATCATAAAAAACATAGAATATATGAACATTTTCAGCACGGTATTAATCACAAGACTTCAGTAGATGTACAAAATAATAACTAAGTGTTTACAAAAGTTAATAAATTACACAAAACGTTTTATAGATAATATAAGTGTTGACATTACCGGCAAAAACAATGTAAATACCACCAGCGATGTCATTTCTACACAGAATTTCACAGATATATACACAAATGATCGGACTTTTAAGGTAAACGTTGAATAAACTAAACTTAAGACCATTATCTAAGTATTTTTTCCAACATCTGACCTTTTCCACACTCGTTAAACTTGACTGTATTATTGGTGTCTTCTCCGGTTCATTGTATAGAGATACAATGTACCAGGTGGGTCTGAAAAGGCGCTCTGTGGTGGAAAAATAAACTCCAAAATACCTAGTAACATTCAGTGCCCGGAAACCGCAATAGAAATGCAATGTCCTGACCCCTCTGAGCTTCTGTTAGTTGTACCATAATTTAAAATACAATAGAAAATGACGTATCTGTCAGGAGTACAAAGTGGTATGACGAGATGAATTACCGAAGTTTCCAACATTATTCTGCACATAAAGTTTGCTTCTTGATTTTTTCTCCATAAGGCTCAGTACACCAAATGGTTGAGCGGCTTTGCACGCTTGGTGTAGTTAACACTGACCAGGATAGTCATCTGACCGACCTTCATTATTTAAGTGATATCCATTGACGATATAACGCATTTTTATTTCTCCTCATGCGTTTCTTTTTCTATTAAGTATGTAATTTAAAGAAACATAATTTATTTTGGTGTCAAGCTTGACATTCTTGTGAGATGTGCAATCCCAACATATATCATGTCGATTGATAACGATTTCAATTTGACTACTTTGTATATATTAATTCTTTATTTGACTTACAATTGTTTACATGTAAGATGTGCTTATGTGATTTATTATTTATTATCTTTTTTATGAAGTATGATATATTTTTCTCTATTACTGTTGTTATATGTGTATGGAACGGGAAACATTCTTCTTATGGTATTTTGATAAATGTTTGCATGTTTTCGCACTTGTAAACATAATTTCATAATATGAATTAGGCATTGGGATGTGTTCCACTTGCTCTCCCACCAGACCAGACAACACACTTGTACATGTCTATTGAATGCTAACAGTTTGGTTGGTGGATGTACATAACTCACGGATTGACCAGGTCAACATCAATGTCCCTTAGGCCTCCTACTTATAATTTATTTCTTTTTCATTTAAACTGGTGTGAAATATCCTGAAAATGATGTATAGTAATGATTTAATGGTTGATCTTACCGAGTAGATATAGCGATGCTTCTGCAAATAAAACTACATTATATCCAAAAACATGCATATACATATGCGTAATTTTAAGATTAGATTCACAAACATTTTTGGTGAACTGCGGATAGACATGGTACGTTTAAACATCGTTAGTCACTCATGACGTCGACGGCTTTTGAAATAGGCAGACTATTTAGCGTTTCATTCACACCCTCCGACGTTCTATTAATAAAGGAGTATTTAAACAAATCCAATGGCGTATTGACGAATACGAAAGGCACCCCTGTTGAAAGAGATAATCAATACCGGTAACTATATACATTCTGTATGCTTGAACCGTATTTGGAATGTGTGTTACATGGTTGTTGTACTGGCTACCTAGGTCGATCCGCCGTTTCACCACACGAGAGTCTGTCATGTCCTATCGCTACTCAAAAGCAAATTGCTGACTGAGTGAGAAAGGCAATGTTTGCAATTATTAACGTTTGTAAAAATAGTTATGTTGATATAGAAACGCATTTAGCTGTGTTTGACACGTATGGAAATAGCGTACTTAGTTACGGGCGAAAGTATGGGGCTTCCATGCAGTACTAGATATAGAAAAGTTATGTCAATTTCTGCAAGCGTATGCTGGGGTTACATAGTAAGGCAAGTAATCATATTGAATATACTATGAAATAGAAAGGCTATTAAATAGTTCGTAAATTCAAATATTTGATAAGATTAAGAAAAGTCTGAAAACTCTGTTCTAAAATCATGCTTTTCGGAGAGGCGATGTAACAAGGATATATGGTTAAGTAAGGTAAGGTAAAAACTATACAGAGTTGGTCTTTTTATGTGTGGGAAGCCCCGAGTCTAAATAATGATATATTCTTTTATAATCAAGGAACGCATTGGTGAAATAAATAAACATGAATGGTTTGAAAAAAATAAGATCTTCTGCAAAATGTTCACCGTATCAATATATTTGTAATTTTGGACAACAATCAATATTTATTATGTAAAACATACTTGTAAAATAAGATTATCAGCACATAAGGTAAATATTGAATAAGGCAGGTACAATAATATTGAAGAGGAAACAGGGTGTGTACAATATGTAATATGAATGAGGAAGAAGATGAATATCATTTCAATTTGAAAGGTCCTTTTCTATGATGACTTAATATCTAAATTCATCAAAAGATATTATTGAAATCGTACTAGCATGTTTAAATTTATCCAACTGCTAAATAGTAATAGTATATCAGAAATTAGTGGTAAATATTCAGTGTATGCGAACAAGAAAAGGTCTCAACTTCTTTAATCAGAGGTATATTCGCATGGTTATGCATGTATTGTACTGTATATATGTTGTAACTGATAAGTCGGAAGACTTAAAGTAATTATAACTTGTTAACCTGTATTGAAGTTCTGTCAGAAGGGTGTAAACCATTTGTGGGAATTAGGTAGAGTAATTATATACGGGCCGTTAGATGTAGGTTGAGTCTATTTTCATGTTAACCTATGGTTTAAAGTGTAAATGATCATTAAGAGTCATTATTGTGATTATAATCTGTTGTTTTCCAGTATCATAGAAGTTGCTTACCTTATTGAGGTACAATGTACAGCACAGCTCATGTTTATTTAATGTTTAGTTTATCCCAAAAGAGGAATTAAAAAAATTAAACAATTTATACAATGTAATCCAATGAATATTTCCCCAGTGTCTGTGCATCATTTTGCATCACAAAACATGGGACTTACACTTCTATAGATTCTCCTGTATAGATGATATTGTTTGGGACGATTTGGGGGGTGATAAGACACCATTGTTTTCAGTATAGCGCAAAAAAAAACAACGTAAAAGCAAGAAATTGAACAGGAACATGCTTATTTGCATTTGAGCGTGGTTGTATGTTCATTTACTATATTTTGGGTAATGTAATATTTAATTTAGACATGTACCTATATATCATCGAGCATTACTGATGATAAAATGTTGGTATACATATCGCGTGGCAAAATTTATTCACAATTTATTTGCATTACGTATACAATGACGAAACACAATACGTCATATAGGCGGAATTTGTTAACCGTCAACTGGGAAGCCACTCTCAGAGCATTGCTATTATGCTAATTTAAATGAACATTAAACATTATTGCATTTATGTTGAAAATGAAATAAATTCCTTAAAAAATATCATTATATCATTTTCCACAAAACACATTTTGATGAATATTAATGAATTTAAATTTTGTGGTTTTTGTTGTCATGCTGTTGCATGAACGTCCTCCACAATTTTTAGCGAATACATGCTGTTCTCTCTACTGCGCTGCCCCAGTATATAAAAAAGCAATTAAGCTGTATCTGTTAAAAAAATTAATGACAAGCATTTACAAATGAAAAAACAAGTATAAGGAATGACATTTTTTTCAATATTCATGAGGTCAGAACAGCATTCGGTTACTGGACCTATTTATATATATATATATATATATATATATATATATATATATATGGAATATTGAAAGCGTAAATAATGTGCTGTTTAAAAATTGCTTTAAAACTCCCATGCATAGTAGAAATGTAAGACGATACTGTAGAAAGAGTAGGGACCACGTGTATGTTTACCTTAACGCAAAATACAAAAATGCAATATGAGATATTTAATCATTCATCAAGTAATACATACGTCATATCTTTTATCTAATATGTATATGACTTGTATGATGTACAATTTTCCTCTCTCTAACCTCTTCCGTTGTGTTTTTATGGTTGTTTACTACCAAAGTAGATCGATTTACAGATGTGTTTAAAGATAAAATATAATAAACATGACGAAGCCTTTGTGCACACATGTTTAGTAAATGGTTTCCTATATTGGTATTTAGGTCAAGGTTGTGTTAAATAACTACACGTTTAACTATACAGTTTTCAGACTTATTACAACATATGTTCATTATAAATATTTTACAGGACAAACCAGGTTTTTGTTTCTACACACTTTCAGTGAAGATTTTCTGAAGGTTCATAATATTTCGAATCCCTCCGAATGCACGTTGTTTTTTTAAATGAGTTTTGTTTTCATTTTCAAATAATATGTAATATGTTTATTATGTATAATATCGACATAGATTATTATACATTTTTAAAAACCCTTTAGTTAGAACGAAAAAAAGGGTATTCAATCCATAAAAAGTTTGCATTTTTTTTATAACAATATTTCTAATGTTTTCATCCTATAGCCTTTTTCGCTTTCATGATATACCTGGCCTCTATTATCTGTATGTTATTTATATTTACTAGTCAGATTTCATAGGGAGTGGGGTTAAACATTCGTTCACCGGACGAAATATATTACTGCAATTGTTTTATCACGACGCAAAGGAAACTTAAACCATAGTGTACTTTTTTAGTTTACTTATTTTTGATGAATACAATATCAGTAAAAAATAGAAAAGACCAGTTTTTTTGTTGTTTTTTTCGTTTTCATGAAAAAAACCATATTCTTCCAACAATATAAATCGTATGAAAAAAACACCTTTTCCCGTTTATTTTATCGATGCATACATACAAAATACATTTTCTTTATATCAATTTCCATATCCTACAATTGTAATTATATGAACCCCAAAATAACCTATTTGGAATGCACTGGTTTATGATACAGGCTAATAGCAACAGCAGCATTTAGTGTTAAAAAAACCCGCCAGAGCTGAAGAATTACTTTGTCGGTCGGCAAATAAGAGAGGTATTCTTACGTATTACCTGCTGACTAGTTCTATACAGTATTCATTTACGTTGTCATATCGTCATGTTACATAATATGTAACTTTATATTTACATTTCAGAATTTGGTAATGAACGAGACGTCGATGGACAATTTAAACATGGTGCATACGTGGTACGTAATATTTAAGCAATTTAATATTATTCTTTAGATGAAAAATTGCTCGACAAACGTTTTAAGACATGCTTGCTCATTCAAGTGTGTACTCTTCAGATTATCTTTACATCTAGCATGCAAAGGCGCGTTCTATCTCAGGAAGTTGATATTTCACAACTTTGACTTTGTATTCTGGCTTCCTTTTATAATCTGTTCAGAATTTTTATGGTGTTGGCCACATCTCTTTGTCAGTATTTAAATTAGAGTACAAAATAAACACTAGCCTGTAATCCCTGAACACTGTTTTTATTACAAAAATATCCAATTTTGGTCTCATCTATACAAATGCAGATGGTTTGTAGGTCTAAGACCGGGAAACATGGGGCTCCAAAAAGGGTTAAGTAAATGTCCGACTTTTCGGTTAAGGATTTTGGTAACCAGTTCGTGGTCTTTCGGCCGAATAACCGGTTAACCGGCTACCCATTGACAACCCTACATAATACATCTACATACCAAATCTATAGCATCGGTCAATATCGAAATGTCGACCAATCAGGACTCGACCTAACACGGACATTTTGTCAAATAAAACAAAATCAACGCAGATCGCAGTAGTGTTCGTAGTGACACTGCACACTTTTATATAGGGATATTGGACAATTTATAAATTTCGACTAATCAGAAGCCAGTCTGCAGCAGCCATTTTGCGGAAGATGTTGGCCTTTTTTCGCCTCTTTAAGAAAACGATTGAAATATTCAGTTAAACAACTTTTGTTGTGGTCCATAAATCAGAACAGAAATTGTTATAGCCTGAAATGACTGAGCAAATTATAGGCCATGATTTAGAACTTAACATCGAATATCATAAGTGACTTCATGTATTATATTATGTAACTGCAGTACACCTCTATTTCTATGATACTCGTATCCCTCTGTACAAACACGCATGCTTATTCATTAAATCTGTGTATGTTACATATTTTTGTATAAAATTGTAAGTCAAAAGTGTTGAGATAAAAAAACAAGAGGTCCAGAGGACATGTATCGCTCACCTGGATAATAAAGCAACCATGGGTATTATTCTTGTTACAAGCAATTCCTCCAATGGTACAGAACAAGAAATTCAAATTCTCCTACTGAGCCCCGCAACTCTGCACTCAAAGGGGCCACACCCATCATTTATACACAAGTAATACCCCTATGCCAAAGGATGCTCCAGACCAAATTGGGACGAAATCCCTAAATCCCTATAGGTATCTATATATATAGGTAGAAGAAGGATTTTAAAGGTTAACCTCTGTTTCCCCTATGGGGCCCACCCCTCTGCCCCAAGGGGGCCACAACCAACGTTGATGCAAAATTGAGTGTCATTGGCCCAAGGAGGCTCCAGACTAGATAAGGATAAAATCCCTTAATCCCTTTGGTAGAAGAAGGATTTCAAAGGTTTTATCTCTATAGCCCCTATTGTCCCAGTCCCTCTGCCCCCAGGGATCCAAACCAACCATTTATCAAAATTGAGTGCCCTTGGCAAAAGAATGCTCCAGACCAAATTGGGATGAAATCCCATAATCCCTATGGAGAAGAAGGATTTGAAAGGTTTTGGTTTTACCTCTATTTCCCCAATTGGTTTTTGTTTCTCTGCCCACAGGCGGCCACACCCACCGTTTATGCAAAATTCAGTCCACTTGGCCTAAGGATGCTCCGGCAAAATTTAGTCGAAATGTACTGGGTCGTTCAGGACTAGTAGCATTTTAAAGGGAAAAGTTGACGGACGGACGGACGACGAACGCTATGGCATGGTATAAGCTCACAATGGTCCTTCGGACCAGGTGAGTTAAAAATTAAAGGTCGAACAAGTTTGAAGTTGGAAAATGTTTAAAGTGTACGCAGTAGTTTCTAAATAAACAAGCCTAAACATATCAAAATCCCCCAAAATCAAGATCAGTGTTCGTACTCATGACAACTAGCAATATGCCAACTCCTTATACGATTTCTAATCCGGGTGAGAAATCATGCAGTGGTGAGAATTCATGTTGCGATCTCAGCAATTTTAGCACGATTTCTCACCTGGGTGAGAAAACGTGTCGGGGTGAGAAATCGTGCCGTAACACACCACCCGATCGTTCAATGTGAGGACGTGTCTTTACTTGTAGTTGAAATTAATATATGTGTCGGGTGTCGTTGATGAAGCAGAAGACCCTTACGGAACCTTATCTATTCTCCTTATATATTTTGCAAGAACATCCCTGTAAAATGTATTTTAAGATACGTGTGACGTTAAATAGGATATTTCTTCATCCATATATAAATGCATTACTTCCACCCTTTTATGCTTGTGATATATCTGAGACAGTGGCTGAACAGATATTGCTGTATGCTCCCATACTTTCTTATTTTGCAAAGCAGTTCAGATTCGTAAACTAAGATTTTCACACTGTCCAATCAACCAGTCGCTCCACTATGGTAAGCGTTTGTCTGTACAAACATTTTAATGTAAGAAATGTTTGCCCTACGTGACTATACTCATCTGTTTGACCACAACTGAGAGTGAGAGTTGGAAAGTGGGCCAAAGTTAGGACTTTTAAATGAACATTAGATCTAATGTAGTCGTTATGGACAGACTATACATATTCAAATATATGCATTAAACATTTGGTTTAGATGCTTGAACTATTAAGTTTGGTTCATTTATCTGCATATCTTCTTATTCGAGATTGGAAAAAAGCCTAAACATATAAGTGTCAAGCGATGTGTTTTTACATTAATGGGACTGAGCACCCAATTGCATATTTATGAATTGAATTGACGGAGATCGTTTCCTGTTCGTATCTAAAGGATTTGGGTGTTTATTTGTGGGCAAGTTCCATCTGTTGTTACTGCATCGGACCGTTGCTAGACCCAACCAATCCCTCTATCGCAAATGATGGTCCCCGCCGTCATATATATATCACATCACCTTCTCGACCAAACGTTTAAATCCATACGCCTGTATCCGGATCACTTAATAATTCAGCACATTTACTGATGCTGTCGCGAAACACTATCCTCGGAATATATACCAATATATATTTAAATAGTTTAAAGATAATGAACAAATCACTTGCAAGTGTATACATGAATGTGTACATACAATGTATAACAAGAACAGAAATGCAGACAAGTTTCAAAGATAACGTATTATGTATGAAAATGAAAAGATTCATATGACAGCTCGACGACATGATTAGTGGTAATAATATTATATTAAAAATGCGTAAGGATCTCAATCTAATAAAACTCATCATGAAACTGAAAGTACCATTTTTGGTCTTTATGTTATGTTAGAGTTTCGAGCTTCGAGTGAACATTTTGATGTATCACGTCGTCCGGACTATTAGCATGCTACAGTGTCGTGTTTAGAGTTCCTCTCATTATTAATCAAAGTAACTTCGTTCATTTTTATTGTCCTTTTCAAGCAATAGCGTTTTGTAAACGCATATTTACGTGAACAGTTTCATGACACTATTTAATATTACCTTCAACGAAATCAGTATGCACTTAATGATAATGTTTTCGATAGAATAAAGTGGCAATGATTAAACTTGTACATGTGTAGTTATTTCCCACTATTTGGATATGATTGTGACTTAAGGCAAGTTTGAATATAATAAAGCAGGGAATACTATAAGAGGCAGAATCGACAGCCGTCAAATGTCTACTTAAGAAATGTTCAGCCGGGTATTTTACGGAGTCAATGTAAAGGAAAACAATACACAAAGCGTTTGACACAATGCCCCACCACAAGCACTTGCTCGATATCATATAATGTACTGCGCTTTCGATGGTCTGACCCGATTTTAATTTAACGTTTGAAAGCCAGACCTTTAAAAATGGTTGATCTGAAATGAGTTCGTGTCAATGGTTGTCATGATTAATAATAGAACATATTACAAATGCCTAAAAAGCTTGATTTTGTATATAAAAACACGCGCACCTTTTTCGTATAAAAGAGTATATCTTTTAGTGCTACTGCATGAGAGATGCACATTTTTCTATAATGCCTTTATTTGGACTCTTGGTTATGTTTATGCAGTTATAAAGTTTAGAAGATTATAATACATAACTATGTCATGTACGTTACATTCAAACAATGTAGCACATGCCTAAAGTATGATTGTCTGAAGGACGCTAGCAGTACTACCGGTAGGGTGGAATTTGGATTATTGAGCTCTTTGTGCTATTTAATTTTTCTTTGGTATAAAATTTAGCAATTAAAAGGGGATGAAATCGCAAAGGGTTACGAGTACTAGTTGCTACCATCAATGAAAAAAATGACATCGCTAGTAGCTTTTACAGCTGTACTTATATGCCAATAAATAGGTGACAAATGTACCATGTAAGGTATAGCTGATTTCAACTAAATTCCTTTGTATGTCGTTAGCTGATGTGTTGATTTTCATACAAGTATTGTGAACTTCAGGATATTCATGTATTTCTTCGTATCTGATGTAGTGTAAATATTGAGTAGTTATTAAAATAGAAACGTTAGTGTTAAGATTCTCAAATCATCGGTGTTACCAGATCACATTAACTCTAAACAAATGAACCTTACCTTACCCAGGTAATATTTTATCACCGGGTTCTATAGAATATTCATGTTGTTGGTGAATATTAGCAACAATACATTTCATAGGCATGAGTAGCTATCGCCTCTAAGATAGGCTTTATAAAATATCAGTTGTGATATTGAATTATAAAGGAAGATTATTTAGTATGACTGACATGTACTGTACGAACACGTGCGTTCCTGATATTCTATATGAAATAATTTAAGATTCATTTCAAATTTCTACATGTCATATATCTAACATTAGATTTAGATCAATGTTCACCAGATTTATCGGGCTACGGGGTCGTTGACATCTAGCTCCTAAAAGATGGATCAATAGTCAATCTAAATTTGTAATTTATATCAATGACTTGATGATTTGAAAGCCAGGTGAAATTGGATCGAAACTAGAAAATGTACACGCGGATCTCAAAACGCGACAAAATTTTACTCTCCGCGACGATGACCTGATTAACCTATTTATTATAAACATAATCTTCCCCAACAGAACACCATTCTTACGCACGCCAACTGCCTCAATATTTGCTAAAACGAATGACAAAAATATGACGACCAAAATATTTGATTTGGTTTTAACACATGGTCAGCTCCTGACCGACAGACTGTCTTGGACTTGATGTGAGACACTGTTTCACACCTGACACATATGGACCTTGATAATGTCTTACGGCATTTTTGTTTAATACTGTGGGAGTTTTATGCCTCTGTGTTGACGCTGTGATACAGTCTGTCATATTGTTGACGCTGTGGTATACATTCACCTTTTTGTTTTGTTTTACGATTGTAGAAGAAATCCTTTTCATTTGTAACCTCTGACATGGAAGCGATTTATCAAGAAAGAAGGAAACGAATGTTGAAAGCATGTGTTGGTCGTGAGGCTGAAATGAAGGGAAAGAAAACAGCAAAATATGTGAAAAACAATATAATAATTGATCAAGTGTTGGGAATAGCCTATTGTCCAGTAGAAAAAACAGCGTCGACATTCTGGAAACGTGTTTTGCGGGTAAGTAATTATTTATTTTTATAAAATGAAATGTGTTACCAAAGTCTTGCCATCTTAATTAAATGTAGATGCATACTCAACAATAAGAAATAACTCGTTTGTATTAGAAAGCCAACATTTATTTACATGTTGTTTTCATAAGAATTGACCATGATGTTTTAGTTCCTAATTTCAGGGCTAACATCAACTGCATCAAAATTATTTAGGTTTTATTTTTTTTACTTTTAATGGCCATGTCGGTGTTTCATTAAAAGCATTTAAAATCACATTTGCAATAAGGATGCTGGCAGTGGCGGAACCATGAAAACTGTTAATAGTGTCTACCATAACGAAGGAATACAAAACAAACTTATCTACCGATTGGTACCGAGCTTTGTTGTGTATGTCGCTATTGAAACGGACTATTTATCTTGTAGTTATTACGGATATTCATTTACAACAAAACACAGCATCCTGAGGTGGGGGTATTTTTCAATACGTTGACAAATTTAAAGGTGTCATAACCTAACAGATTTTAAATGTTATTGTAGTAGTAGTATTGTGACCGATTTTTTTCATTTGTATGGTTTTACTGTCATGCGTTAATGTGTTCGTCTATGACTTTTTAGTTCTGAATGCTTTTTGTTATTCAAAATTGAAGTAAGGATCAACGAAATATTTCTTTAAGTTTAGATTGAAGGTTTTATGATACTATGGATGATTCAATACATATAGAATTAATGATTTAATGTGACATCAAATGGTGATTTGATAATAAAAAGGTGAAACTTTTATTCTTGTGAAAAGTTTTCATAAAAACAAACAGTTTACTGAATTTTCATTAATCCATCCAATAATTAATACTGATACTAACCTACATTTTTTTATCATCTTTCAGGTTGTGGTTGGCGAAGCGCACGCTAAATCGCCTTTTGACAGCTCAGTTATTGCACTGGCTACTTTTGATAACATGACTAGTATTCCGGAAGACATGGTCGATAGATTCATGAAGGAATCCCTAACATTTATGTTTGTCCGTGAGCCGTACGGTCGACTGTTATCAGCCTATGTAGATAAACTGTTTTCACCAAATCTGTATTACTGGAAATTATATGGTGCGTTTGGAGTAAATGTTACGCGGAATGAATCAACTGAATGTGGACACAATCTGACATTTAGAGAGTTTGTTAAAACAGTCTTATATGCGGATGAGCACAACGAGAAAAGAGATGGGCATTTTACCCCTTCTTATGAGCATTGCGATCCTTGTCGCTACAAATGGCAGGTGATCGGTAATTTGGACACCCTTCCTCAGGATATTTTCTATATTTTGGATCGCATTGGTAGAACAGATTTGATGCGATCCCTAAACAAGGATTTTCGAGAGCAATATTTGAACGACACAATATTAGACCAGTTTAATTGGTTATTTTATTTTCGAAAAAGCTATGCTATTGACTGTAATGTGACGTTCTATGAGGCTCAAAAAAGACTCTGGAAACAATTTCAAATCCGTGGTGTTCTCACAAAAGAATCGGAATTTCCCCTCACTACCGAAGAGAGTGAGGGTCTAACAAAGAAAAAACTAATGAGTGTTGTGTATAATGCGATGGGGAATGCGGAGAAACGGTCCAAAGCAAGAAAAAACAAAGCAGAAGCTTTTAAAGAGGCCTACTCGACGTTAGACAGGGAAGATTTAGATAAGCTTAGTAAAATCTTCCAACCGGACTGTGATTTGTACGGATATGACTGTCAACCAGAGCAATTGTTCAACACAGAAAGGACTGTAATTGAACCATGGTTCTTTAAATATGATACGTAGCATTCGTATCATCATAAAGCTATAGTGCTTATGTTAGTTTATACTTTTGGTGTAAGTATGGGTAATTCTGGTATAAGTATTGGGGACACATGGCTTGATAAAAAAATGTATTTCATCTCAGCAGTAAAAACAGGAAGAAAGCGGGTACTGATGAATGATCAGTCTCACAACGTCTTCACGATCAGTGGTCTGCACTTCCACCCAAACAAAGTATCCTTATTTTTATCATGCAACGGGCGAACTAATAGATAAAAGTTGGAATTATAGATAAACACAGTACTACAGTCTGTGTCTTGTCCATATATATCGGTTTTCGGACGGTATGCTGGATTATTTATCTCATAAACATTATGTGACGGTCTTGGTCCGGAAATTGTAGTCCGGAAATAAGTACCCGCCTCTATACAGCATGTTGGTTTTGCTTTCCAAGTTCCTATGTCTACCATGTGGAAGCGTCACAGTGAGTCACGCTGATATTGTTTAGGCTAAATGCGGGCCTCCCTAAGGAGTACGTGTTTATGATAACCTTATGATTTATTTCATAATGTATCTTTGATGCCAGTTTTTATGTTATATGCATATGTTCATTCTGTACGTTTGGTAAATCCGATGGTTTTGTTGGGCTTGGGTGAGTCCCGCCAGATTTCAATCGGTGTCGTCTGCTTGTTTGCTCAACACAATAAAGTAGTCAAATAGTATATTTCATTATTTTGTACTTCCTTATACTTCATTATATATTGTACCAACTGTATGAATATGAATGATAGTAAAGATGATATCGTGCAACTAGCCATATTTTTGTCTGGTATTTGACGTGTTGTGTTTTGAAGGATCTGGTTAGCACAGGGTCTTGTCTAATTTATTATCCGGTGATATGGATCAATTGTAATTTTACTCTGTATGTAATGTTGATGGCATACTGTTCATATAAAAGAAGCCTTAACTAATAGACAAAATGATATGATTGAGTTGTACTAGTAAAATGGCTATTGTTTAGCTCGAAATTTTTTTGTCAGTTTGAGATAATTACCATTGTTTGACCTAATTAGTTTTCAGTAATCTTATGAGTGTTTTATTTGTTTTGCTTTGTAGTTTTTCACCCTCTCTCGAGGTGTGTAAAGTAAATTCCTCTACGAGATGGAAACAATTAAGGGAATATTCGTCGATTTTTTTCGTCCTTTAGTTATTAAACATCACACATTACGATTCGGTGTCACATATGGCTGACTCCACAGTCTCCACCACAGTGGCCTAGTCGCGTAACACATTTACACACAACATACACAAAACATTTAAAGAAAACATGGACAATTTCCATAGCGAAGGTGCAGGGCTTGTTGGACATTAAGGTTAGATGTTTGGTTTAAACTTTGTTTTATTCAAATTTTGACAATACATCGAAGTACATGTTTTATAGAACAGAAAAGGAAACAAAAGCAAGTGTCGTTACACTTATGTAAAATCTCTGAAGTATTTTGATGAAATATTTTATGGAATTGTCACAATTTATGATGGAATCTACGGTCTATTAATTTATTCCATCCAATTTCTGTATATAGTTTGTCTAAGCTTACAAGTTTAGAAGCACCTGAAACAATCCTAGCAGCATCCAAATTAACATTCTCTAGTTTAGAAATATATTCTTTGGGAATGCTATACCAGACAGTATCAGCATATTCTACATGTGGTCTAATACACGAAAAATATATATTTTGTAATGCCTGTCGAGTTTAAATTTTGGAGATTGATAGTATTTAATATAGACGTTGCTTCCTGAATTATTTGTTTTACAATTTGTCTTAATTGCACATATGTAAGATTGGATGGGGTTGACTGTTTTTTCTGCCAAGGGTCAAACTTTCCGTTTTTTTAGGATTGAGATCAACTAAAATTTGGACAATACAGTAATTTTTAGTAGATATGACTCCATACTGTTGTTTGTTTCTAAGGTTTTTTTAACTATCATGTACAGAGTATTATCATCAGCAAACAATTTGATAAAAGATTTGATATCGTTGACTATGTCATTGATATAGATTGAAAAAACAACAAAGGTCCAAGTATTGAACCATGTGGAACTCCAGCCTTAATTCCTGCCCAATCAGAGTGAATATTATTGATATTTAGTCTTTTCTTTCTATTCGTTAAGTAGTTTTCGAACCATTTTAACAGCGGTCCAGTTATTCCAATTTTTGATAATTTATACAACAGCCCTATGTGCCAAAACCCATCAAATGCTTTGCTGATGTCACAAAATACTACTCTTATTTCTTTACCTGAATCAAATGCCTTAATGAAATCTTTGGAAATACGTAATAATTGGTTAATAGAGGAATCGCCTGGTGAAAAAGGTTAGATGTTTGAAGGGTTCTTATTGTGTAATAAGTTAATATATCTCAATATTATTATCGTGTATCGTACACTCTGAAAACGAGATCTTGCATTAAACACAGATTACTGAACCCTTTTTTCCAAACCAAACTAAACTAAAATGGGATGACGAAGTCTTACATTAATTATAACCATACTCAATATTTTGGACATATAAAGATATCAATACATCAAAATGAAATAGGTCCCGAAAATAATTTATAATATAAATGATTTTATGTTTTAATCTTCCATTATCTAGCTAACTAGTTTAATAGTTTAAGTTAAAATGATGAACATAGGGCACACAAACCAACACACCATCACCAACACCCAAACACACCCACACCCCAACACCCAAGTCCCCCAAAACACATACATAAAACTCGAAAATGAAAAACAAAATACATGTATATATTTATTTTTTATTTCAAAATATTTGATTAAATCAAATGATTCAATGGGAATTGGGCAACAGGCTATGCCTATACAAGCCCTCTCACTTGGGTTACATACATTTCAAACAATAACATAATTATAATTGAGATATTAACATATTAGCACTTGCTTGGAACATTAAATAGTACTTAATAGTTCCTATCTATCTCTGAACTAAGCAAAATTCAAAATTTAAAAAAAAATCAATTACTGAGGTAAAACAAATACAGTTGTTTTTGTTTTGTTATTTTTTCTTCACTTAGTAACCAGTATATATAAAATATATATATAATATATATATATAGAAAGCCATGTGTGTATACTGCATTTGTAAATAATCAAATTTTATAAATTTTACAACATATGTAAATATCAAAAACTGGAACCTCCACTCAATACAGTAAATATCAAATATTATTAGTTGAATAATTTGTAACACCAAAAAGTCCATCACCACTGCTGCTCCAGATAACAATTATAACTGGGCAGCACTAAAATGTCCATACACACCACCAATCCAGAGCATGAGCCGTGTTGGAGGAGTATTCATATAGACATGTATACATACACATTGCGACTAGATTTAACGGTTATTTCAAAGTCTGTTAGTAGACTCAATATATTTCTGAACACAGACACAAATAGCAGAATTAAGATCATGACTAAGGTGGTTACTTCCCCTAGTTAGTATATTGATATTATTTACTAAATGTTCAATCAGGTTTAAGTCGAGATTTAAATGTAGATTTAGTTGAATGTTAAGCTGCGAATGAGACAGAGAATCTAATAGGTTTTGTCTTTGCGTTATATACCTAGGACAGTATAGAAAGAAGTGATTCACATCTTCGTCATGGTTGCCACATATACAGGATGGGCTATTAGTAAGGTGGTCTCTAAAAAGATCAGAATTTAATTGACTTGCATGGTTTCTAAGATGACATAAAATGACGTTAAAAGATCTAGTCCCTCCATATTTAAAAGCATTTGTACACGTATCCTCAGCATTAGGAAGAATGGCATGATGGACGAGTTGCTTTTTAAGTTCACTTACCGACCTCAGATTATAATAATTACAATCGGATCTATTCCACCGAGACATCATACTAGGAAAGAAAATGTTAAAATATATACTACAATGTAGTTCTGCAAATGGGTGTTTGAAGTATACGTTGATGTCGAATATCATGGGTCACTAAGTCATTGTTTATGATATAAGGTTCAATGTTTTCAAACAGATAATTAGGCTATGACGGTTCGTTTTTTAAAAAAAATAGCATATGTTGCTGGTCATTTCTGCGTTTCTTAAGTGTATTCCATCCTAGTTCATTATAAATGACAGCATGACTATTACCCCTACGTAATCCAGTAACTATTCTAGCAGCATCAAGCTGGATGGATTCAAGAAGATCGGATTCTGTCTGATTGCAATTATTCCACACAACACTTGCATACTCGAGGTTTGGACGAATATAAGATTTGTATATTATTTCTAAAGATTTCCTGTCGAGCGTATACTTAAGTGATCTGAACAGATTAATTTTTAAGCCGCTCTTGGCGAGAGCCGAGCGGCTTCTTAATTATGTCCAGAGAACGAAATGACGGACCCACTTCCGCTCGGGGTGCGTGCGCATAATTCAGTCGTGCATGCTTCCGCTATATAGTTTCGTTGTCGTAAATAGAAAGCAGAATCTCTGAAACTCACCGGTGGGTTACATAGTCTTCTGATACTCTTCTCCAAATAACAATCCATACTTTAAATAATTGCCGAAAACAAAATGTGTATCTCCGGTGCATTCTACGAGTGTTGTGGTGGTGAAATTCGTGCACTGGGATTGAGCGTTTGGAGTGTTTGTTTTCGTGACTCTAATTCGAGAAAGCACATGTGAATACTGTCAAGTATTGACGCTGTATGTACGGTCTAGCTTTTTATATTTTGTAAGATCAAGGAAGAAGTAAAAGGCAGCTAAGCACTTAGCTTAATTTATGTACTGGAGTCGTGCACATAACCACTTTATTTGAATAAATAAAATTTAAAAAATATAGGTTTCGAAGAGTTGTCTCCCATGCATAAAAGCTAGGGATAGGAAGAGTTACTCGCCTTGAACTAAAAGCCGAGGATTGTGGGTAACCTGCATTGAGCGCGACATTGAGAAAATTTGTAAACAGCGCGCCATTGAGAAATTTTGTAAACAAAAAGGTCACACAGTGCAAAACTATTGTGTTAACCATTCTAAGTACAGACCTAGTCTGGTATACCTTCCGAAGTTTTCAACCATCAAAGGAGTGAATCTATTTATTATCGTCCTTCTGGAACTGGAGGAGGGGATTAGCGACACGAGATAACCCCCGGGGTAGCCCGTTGGGTTCCTGTTGGATCGTCGAGGAGTCGACATTTGACTTTAAGTATAACAGCTTTTCCTCTCAATATGAATTAGTACTCTGCATCAGCATGTCCACCTCAACACATAGAGTTTTAATTTTAGGACACAGCTTTGTGAGACGGCTGTTCGATTTTGTGCATGAACAGAATTTATCTACATTTGGCCTTTCTCAGTGTGTTGTTTACGGTGTAGGGGTCAGCGGTGCAACAGTTGACAAACTTCAAACGGATCGGACCGTACATGAAAAAATCAGCCATATCCAGCCGCATATTATTATTCTCCAGATAGGTGGTAACTGTTTGTGTAATAATGACATTCGTCCTGATCAACTGGCTTACAAGATTTTTCATTTTGCTCGACATTTGCATGACACTTACGGTAGCCATGTGTATGTATGTGAAATATTTCCGAGGCCTCGGCCCCGCGGGATCAGCGCGAGTCTCTACGAATCACGTAGATTTGCTGCTAACAAGGCTCTGCATGTTCTGGTTATATCACCAGAACTATTGCATGTATGGTCGCATCGACGTCTCTCAACAGCCCACTAGATCTTTTTCTTCGAGATGGTTGCCATTTGAATCCTACAGGATCGCAGAAGTTCTACCGTAGCGTTAGACTCGCCATTATGCATGCATGTAGACAACTTTCCACTCAGTGAAACACCTGCTGGTAGGT